AAAACACAATGACAATATTTATGTGTCGAGTGTAGTTTCGATATGAAAAGGGAATGCTATTACCTGATTAGACAAATATTTTTGGGCCTGTGAAATATTCTTGACTTTGTACCAAATGAATACACAATTAATCACAAATGTGAATTTTGTGGAACTCAGTTTTTTTAAAGTGGGCACAAGTTGCACTCTCTCATATATATGTCATTATTTGCATATATAAACTCAATTTACTTCATGGACAGTATACAAAAACCCATACAGCAGTGCCAGAACAAAATTCTAAATTGAATATATATGTCATATTTATACAGTATACTGTACCCATACAGCTATTTCAATTAAAGATGTCACAGACAATAGTCAGATGTACAATAATATGAGTGCTAAATGAATAATGGGAATGATAGTTTTCAAAAAGTTTAAAGGGGAAGTCAAGTCCGTTCTGCGCATCGGTTCTGCGCATAACAATGTGAGGACCTCTAATGTGAAAATTGCCCAAATTTCGAATGTTTCGAATTTTTCTGAACATAAACTTTATTTCATATTCATTTAGAAACATAGCGAACCAAAATAGTGTTAGATATTCAGACAGTACATCATATTTTAAAAAATACAGCAGTTCAAAATGTAAACAAACCGTTTGTTTACATTACGGACTTGACTTCCCCTTTAAACCTCAAATATATTATGAATACCAATTTAATTTGTATTCCCGTGAGGCTATTGATGTGTTAAAATAGGATTCTTTTAGCGTTCAATTGTACATTTAACTATTGTCTGTGACACTAACCTTAATTGGAATAGTTGAATTATAATATAGGACAAGTGCAAATTGTGCATCTATTAAGTTCTATTAATCCTTTCAAGTTAGGGTAGTCTTGGTAGCCTGTGCTACAGCCATACATTTCATTGTTGCTTATTCGTGCAAGTGTTACAGAATACAGTATTCACAGTCATAATTCCTCTTCATCTTCTGATGTGTTGTCCACTGGTACGTGCTTGGTGAATATTCCTCTTGTGTTCGTTTAGCTATAGTCATCAAATGCAGCGACAATTTGTTTATAATGTTGCTAATGTATCTGATGATATATCTGTGAAGAAACCTTCATGAAAGTGATCATATACCGTATTGTTCATTGCAGATGGTTTCAATTCCAAGAGATCACATAAAATAACAATTTCTCCGAAGATTTGTGCTTGTGAGAGGATAACTTCTTGGCTCAATTCCTACAGCTATGTCGAAGTTGTTTATCATTTCTGCAGATCGATATTCCTCCAGTCGGTATACTTTAATATTACACATTCGATTGGCTTCACTGTCTTGGGTGTTTTTTTGGCCCCCACTCTTTTAATTTAATGTTAATTTAGGAAGATAAGAAAATCCATCATTGGTCATCACACGCACGAGTTCCACAATTCACAAATTCTGCGATACGAAGCAGGTTTTTATTTCGCTATTCAGCTAGCTCTAAGAATAGGTTGTTGCAATACTACTTGTCGATAATACTACCACAAAGGCGACACTTACATTCCGAAAACAAAGCGGATTTCGGGTAAATAATCTTTGGAGTTTCCTTTCGCTGTTCCATAGCTTAAGAGCTACTGAATACTGTACTTTGTATAAGTGTGCATTCGACCTTTATTTTCTTTGCGTTGATAAATAATGGCTCCTCTTCAAGGTGTAAAACAGACCTCCAGCCATGCAAATTATGTCAAGTAGGTGTAAAAAGCTTTCAAGCGCCAGGCGGTGACATATTTCATAAAAGATAACACAAAAACCAACAAAACCCAAAATATGGATGAATTACAGAGCGTAAATGGCCGTATTTTCCATAGGCATAGTTATAAACGTTTTCGTTTTCGCTCTTGAATTCTCCCTACCACTTGGCAAAGAGGCGGCAATTCGAATTACCCCTAAAATCTGGGGGTTCACGTGACCAGAGGGAACCAGGGTCTTCGCCGGAGCCCGAGCGCAGGTAAAAGACCCTGTCTTGCGAGGTTGGACAGATACTTGCTCTCATTACTGTCTCCTCCTTGCGAATAAATGGCCCAACCATCCTCAATACGCCATTAAATGAATTTACATCCACGCGATGGTATTGCCTAAACGCCTCTGGGTCGTCACCTTGTAGTTCACGAAGCAGGGTCGCATAAACACCGTGTCCCTGACGTTTCTGAATCCATGTTTTGCTCCACGTCGTTCTGCATGCAGCCCTCCTGCGGCGGCGAAGACGTCGCATTAATAAAATGAAAAGCAGTACAACTTGATGAAGGTTTAATTTTGCCGCCATGTTGAAATTTAGCGCGAAGAAAGATACCAGCTTAGCACTTTACTCAACGTTTGCGACGAACATAAAGACTTAAAAAGCTTAGCTAATGGCCACGCGTGGTCATTGGCTAAGCTAAAAGCTCTCGTCTGCGGCAGGCTTTACAGTCGCTCATAAAAACATTCGCATGATTAGAATCTCCAATGTTTGTCAAGAACAACAACACTTAATTGTCGTTTCCCATGTGTACAATAATAAGTAAAAAAACAACTTTGTGTGGTCTGAACGTGTTGGGCTAGAGACCTACTGGAAACCTTTACAGGCTTTTTAATGAGAATAGAGAATGTTTTATCTGCAACGGTTCACCTTTAGTTGCAACCGACGGTATTTGACAGCATAAAATTGCCTGTGGCTGTGATAACTGATATAAATAAAATACAATCTGGTTATACTGACTTGAGCGTGTCATTACAAACTCTTTATTGCAAAATTGTGAAGAAACCAGTCGAATATAGAGAGTCGAATATCATACTACAACTTGTATAGCTACAGTAACATTGGTACATAGCGTTGTGAAGACAAGCCTTTTCTTACCTTTCGCTTCAGCAGTCTTTTCCATGCTTCTCTACGCTTTCCCAGGCGAGGTTCTCTTTCCTCGGCAGTCTCCTCGAGCAAACGTTGTCGTCTTCGCTCCCTTCTTTTCGCTAGACGCTCGGCTTTCTTGTCGTTTCCTTGCCGCTCTTCATGGCTCCATATCTTTTCAATTGAAATGAGCAAGAAAAGTCGTTTTTCATCAAAAGACTTCAAATTTAAAAACCCAAATGCGATTTATTTGATAGTTAGAACTGCTTTGCATCCTACAACAGCAAAAGTTTGAAGGGTATCAGGTTTGTTTTCATAAAAACGACACTAGTTGAACGTGCCGAAACTTTGCTCTTTAACTAAAAAAAACCCCAACTTTAAAACATAGGTCTACGGACCAATACCTTTTTTGTATTAACGTCTAGGCATAGTTGTTTATTTTGAGTGCTTTTTGACTTCTCTAAAACGTGAATAAATCGATTTTTCTGTAGAAATCCCCCTTGATTTGCGATTTGTGATTTGGCGCCCGGGAGAAGTTCGCGCCCTGTGACTTTCAAAAAAGAACTGGGGAGAGTTCAATTTCCTCATAATTTTGTTTTTTTAGCAAAAATACGCCGAAAAATTAGGTTTTTCGTACGAAGATTTCAATTTCAAAGATTCAAACTTGGTTTTCTGGATAGTTCTAAGTATTCTACATCCACTAACAGCAAAATCTCGAAAGGAACCATTTTTGTATTCAAGAAAATAACAAAATATTTTCCGTGCCGAACAAAATACGACTTTCGGGTACACAAAATATTACGTTAAGTCTTTTCTACGGCTTCCAAACATATTTGTGCAATAGTCCAAGTATCGTAGATGTTTTTAAGTTCTTTATCTATGTTCTAGCATAGCTAGAAAGGCAGAAATCCGAGTTTTTCGAAGAGGTGTATTTTCGCCGCCGTACCTCCAATGGCGGCATTCATTTGGCTTCAAAGAAGGCGGCCGAGTTATCGTTCCAGTCTTATTAGAGTGGTGCCCCTATGGTGGTGCCACCCACCAGTGAACTCTAATAAGACTACTGGAACGATAACTCAGGTAAACATGCCCATTCTTGCCTTAAGCCAACCGTGCAAGGAATTGCACTTTTAAAAGGACTAAGGAGAGTTTCGAGGAGTGGGAAATTCAGTCAAAGTTTTATATTTTCGACGAAAATGAGCAAGAAAAGTCGTTTTTCATCAAAAGACTTCAATTTTAAAAACCCAAATACGATTTATTTGATAGTTCGAACTGCTTTGCATCCTACAACAGCAAAATTTTGAAGGGTACTGTATCAGGTTTGTTTTCATAAAAACGGCATTAGTTGAACGTGCCGAAGTGAACTTTGCTCTTTAACTAAAAAAAACACAACTTTAAAACATAAGTCTACGGACCAATACCTTTTTTGTATTAACGTCTAGGTATAGTTGTTTATTTTGAGTGCTTTTTGACTTCTCTAAAACGTGAATAAATCGATTTTTCTGTAGAAATCCCCCTTGATTTGCGATTTGTGATTTGGCGCCCGGGAGAAGTTCGCGCCCTGTGACTTTCAAAAAAGAACTGGGGAGAGTTCAATTTCCTCATAATTTTGTTTTTTTTTAGCAAAAATACGCCGAAAAATTATGTTTTTCGTCCGAAGATTTCAATTTCAAAGATTCAAACTTGGTTTTCTGGATAGTTCCAAGTATTCAACATCCACTAACAGCAAAATCTCGAACGGAACCATTTTTGTATTCAAGAAAATAACAAAATATTTTCCGTGCCGAACAAAATACGACTTTCAGGTACACAAAAAATAACGTTAAGTCTTTTCTACCTACGGCTTCCAAACATGATTTGTGCAATAGTCCAAGTATCGTAGATGTTTTTAAGTTTTTCATCTATGTTCTAGCATAGCTAGAAAGGCAGAAATCCGAGTTTTTCGAAGAGGTGTATTTTCGCCTCCGTACCTCCAATGACGGCCTTCAATTTGGCTTCAAAGATGGCGGCCGAGTTATCGTTCCAGTCTTATTAGAGTTCACTGCCACCCACGCACAGTGACCCACGCCCGCGATATTTGATGAACTTCAGACTTCCCTAATGCTTTCGTTTCCCAGGGTGTAAATAGCCGGGGGGAATTAGTACCCTCGCACGGCGCTTCGCGCCGCCGGCTCGGGGACAAATTGTACAAATAGACTTCCAATCTAGAAAACTGCAGCTATCCAAATCACTTTTGAAATTGATTGTATAACAGAATTTAGAGCAAACGTCCACTGCCAAACATCCATTTTGACTTTACGAATTTTACTAAGATATATAGTAGATCTTACACCTTCATGAAGAAATATATAAAAGCAACTGTCATAATGGTATCATTTACTCATTTTGTCAAAGAATTTTGCAATTGAATTATATAATTATACATAGACTACTGTACGTATATTGCCTAACACTGCGAATGTTAATGGTATTCAGGGTGAAAATAATAAAGCAAATATGGCATTTAGAATCTTCAGAATTATCGATTGTAACGCGGACACACGCCTTTCACTCTCAGCCATGAGCGATCAAACACAGAAACAACATCTAAAACGAGAAAAGAGTAGATAAATAATTGATATAAAATGTTTAGTGGGATATTACACCTTAAGTCCAGCTTGTATGCTAAATATGAATCAGAGAAATGTATAAAAAGTGAACGGGAAATATTGTTTTAAAAATTAAAGCAATCGAGTTTTCAGTGCGGGTGTTCAGTATTAATAATTGAATCAATATTACTTATTTCCAAGGACATCATCACACATATGTCCGACTCAAAGTCGTCGGGCATTTTGTCAGACGGCTCTGCGATTGATATTTTAAGGTGGCTCCATACACTTTTCATAATCGGGGGACTGGTACCTAATCTTGAGTTTTCGCGCGAAAACATTCAAAATATATGCAAAAATAAATACAACTTTTTCAGTCTAAAATCCGAACCACAAGTCATGTTTATTTTGATGTTTTGAGTCTTCCTTGTTCTCATTTGTTCTCAAAGAACAAACTTCGTCCTGATTTAGCCCTGGACATAGTCTTTTTAGAAGACATTTTAAGGTAAAAAAATGCAATGTTCAACGTTCAAACTCTTGTGAAAACCGGCGATCGCCGATCGGCCCGACCGGCGAAAAGTTTTTTACTCCAATATTTGGCGATTTATAAGTTCATATCCAGATTTTTTTGGACTTACAACTGGTAAATGTATTCAACGTGTTGCTAACAGCAAAGGAATTCAGTGAAACAGCATCATGCGCCGGCTCAAACTATTTTAACTTGTCAACAACAACATCAAAACACACAAGTTACGACTGTAAACGAATATAAAACTATGTAGAGAAGCCAAAAAGTTCATACATGTCACACATATCTTATACCAAACGACACAATCACCTGTTTTCTTTGCGTTATCACGAGTTAGCATGCAAAACTAAAGATATTTGCATTTCTAAGCAAGAAAACACAACATATATTTGATATTTCGACGAGACTAAAAACTTTTTTGTGCGTGTTTTTCTGGACATGCGCCTGCGAAAACCTGTACGCGCATGTCAATTCATTGATCTTGCAGAGCTCGAAAAACTTTCGGCCGAGCGAGTGAGATACCACAATAAAACGGCGTAATTCAAAATTTTGCACGGTGACATGTGATGAAATTTTGCATAACGATAACTTCTTTTAAAACAAATAGAATATCAAAATTTTTAAAAAATCTGTAGATTGGAAAACTCTAAATCCGCAATTTTTATTCTGGCTATTCTAATCTACAGAATTTTTTTATTTTCAAGGATAAGATTCAGCATAAAAAGTGAAAGCTATACAGCAGTTAAAAATGGGGTGTCACCGGCAATATTCGGAAAATAAATAATAAAAACCTGCTTAAAATAGCAAAAAATACCATATTTGGCGAGACTACTGTTACCATGGAAACAATATTATGTTCAAGAACATTGCAAATTTTTTCTACCAAATACTTAATTTATACTCGGGAATGCTTAAGATTAATAGATGAAGTGATAAAATTTATAAATTGAAATTTTACGCAACAAGGCATTTATACTACGGAACTGTATGGAGCCACCTTAAGGTCTGTAACCCAAGTGGTAATAGTTCTCATTGATATCTGTAATATTGTACTTTCACTTTCTTATATATTTCTCCTGCGACATACAGAAGATAAGTAGTATATACACACATACTTGGATCTAGAGGGCCTTGATTTATAAATTTCATGTTGTTTTCCAATTGCGTGAGGGATGAACCTCCAAGAATTACACCATCTATGAATAACAGAAATGATTAGTTCGTGTAATTTAATTTAAACCAAAGAGGACCAGCCACTGCATGAAGCTTCATTGTTACAACTAAAGTTTCATCGTTCTTTATTTATAGGTTGCAAATGAAAAGAAACTAAGTAAAATATTCAACCTCAAATGGAAAAATGGTGGTTGCAGTTATGTCAAGCGTTGACGTCCATTGCACCGAAAAATTGGTTTGGTTCGGGGGGAGTATCCAACTCTAGGCGAGTTCGGTATCGCTTATGGCAAAGAGATTCTAACGGCTGAACGTGAATTGTGTCAATTAAATTGCATTCACATTTTGCCATTTCTCCTGAATAACGAAGAGGGCATGGGACAAATGAAATCATTATCGATTTGATTCAAACGATTTGAACATTCTTATCTGTGTGAACTGCATCTAAATCAAAACATGAATATTGCAGGGTGAATATTCGCGCAGCGTTTTAAAAGCTTAGTGTCCTTCCTGTTTAAATTATATTGATATACAGCAGGCCAAGTCGCAAGCCAAGTCAACAAAGTTTTTGTAAATTGGCTAGTCTGTCAACAGTTATCAAAAAGTTTTATTTACGCCTTCAACATTCCTGATAAAACAAAATAAATCTCAAAATAAAACAAAAAATGAAAATGCGTTCTGCCTTGATGCTTGGTTTCCATCGTAAAGTTTTAAAAATACGCCCATACTTACAATACTCACTAGCGCCCATCTTGAATTACGACCATGGTTATGCACTATTTAAAACACGAGCAGGAGTGCTTTATCAGATATAAAACACGAGCACAGTTCGAGTGTTCTATATATGAACAGCACGGACTGCGAGTGCTCCAAGTGGTTCTAACTAACATATTCACTCGCATCATAGCTAACAATATATCTGCATGCGCAGATACAAAACTATTATTCCTGAAATATTGTAGTATTTTGACGAGGTCTTTCAAGTGAGGCCATTTTATTTCAATTTTACTTGCAGTTATACTAATTCAATATTTAGCTGCAGACCTACCTCCATGTTTTTGAGACAACATTGAATGATGATACATCCATCTGTTACATGCTTCAATCAAAGATACTTTTCCTTCACCGTAGCATGCCGTTAAAGCATTCTGGATGTCAGTTACCCCGTCAAAATATTCTTTATGCCAAAATCGTTGTCGGTACCTACAAAAATATAAGATATTTGATAAATATATCTGGAAAGTTGGGTTCAGTGTAGATAGCGTGGAGCAATATTCAAGAAGACGGTTAAACGAACTGCCTCAGACTGATTACGTATAAATCCCGGATCAGACGAGGATGAAAGCGACACATGCAGGCTATCATCAAACCGTTATTCTGTTAAATTAAATATAGAGGGTGGAAATGCCCCCCATAACAATGCCTAATGACGATGCGATTTTAAAAGACTCTGTGGATTCGGAATTCCAGTACATTCGGAATGATAAATGATCATACGTTACGCACGCCTAACAAGTGCAAGGGGTGCGATGCATGGCCCCTACCCTTTCCTTCCTGGGATGGACTGCAAAGAATACACAAAATTAGAAAATTTAAAGGCACTTTTATTTTTCTATATATGGCGCAGGCATAAAGTATAATTTATTGATTCTATTTATTCCCACAATGGACGCTGGAAGCGAAACGAAACCAAGAAATGTATGGGCAAATTTTTACTTCAGTTTTTTAACGCCATTTTAGAGTCTGCTCCTGCACCCTCATGCTTTCTCCCAAGCTACATACTATTTTTACTTTTGGACAGTGCAGATGGAAATCTCAAATGTAAATTTTATACATTTTTAGCCATAACCAGGAGCAGCTGCGAAAAATGGTTCTACCTATACTGTAGTTCTAGCGAGTAAGATGATGATATTGGGATATCCTAATATTTACCAATACTGGCATCACCTTTATTCATATATTTATACATGAACTTGTGATTAGAGCCAACTTCGTACCCAGGCTCTTTCCACTACGCGCCTCGCTGGAGGCGCGTAGTGGAAAGAACCTGGGTACGAGATTGGATTAGAGCTCGATAACTGGACTCTGCAGCCTAGTTAGTTAAAGCGTTGCACGTAACCGGAATCGCAGGGCCGCAGGTTCGATTCCTGCCAAAGGGCAATCTCGTTCCCCGAGCATGCCCGTTCGCAGGTTAAGGGTGGGCATAGCTCTGGAGAAATCGAATTGATTCACGTTGAATTTCCAACGTGAGTTCTACGCATGCTCAGCAATTGTTGCAAAATCAATAAAGTATTTAGAATTTCTCGTCGAAAATTTGATACTTTTTACACTGAAATCGGATTGAAAACAACTAAAAATTATGAGGAAATATGTACGAAAGCTTCGGATTGATAGGGATACAACTACTTGAAAAATACAAAGAGAACTTCGACGTTTCGAGGGAAGGCGCTTCGACTTGTCACTTGTACTGTTAGTGTTTATATACATCGTACTTCACCTTTACTGATAAATCTCCTCAAGAATGAGTATTATATATTTTTATGCTTTAAAATTTACATTTAACTCTCCTGTCAGAATTTATGGTATACGTATTGTTAAGTACGACAGTATAAAAGGTCAAGTACTATATATACAAACATTAACAGCACAAGTCGAAGCGCCTTCGCTCGAAACGTCGAAGTTCTCCTTGTATTTTTTAGGTAGTTGTATCCGTATCAATCCGAAGCTTTCGCACATATTCCTTCCAGCATTTCTAGTTGTTTTCAAGCGATTTCAGTGTAAGAAAGTAGCAAATTTTCGACGAGAAATTCCAAATACTTTGTTTATATTTTGCAACAATTGCCAAGCATGCTATAGAACTCACGTTGGAAATCCAACGTACTATCTGCCGTTAGCCAATCACAGGCCTGAATCAATTCGATTTCTCCAGAGCTATGCCCACCCTTAACCTGCGAACGGGCATGCTCGGGGAACGAGATTGGCCAAAGGGCTCGTAGTTACATTTCCTCCTAGTTGGGGTTAAAATGTATAAAATTTACAGTCGAGATTTCCATCTGCAAAACTCTTCAATATTTAGTTATCAAGAGTGAGATGCACAAAATCCTTATACTTTATTATTATTATTTTTATTAATAATAATATTATTTATTATTTTATTTTTATACTGTTTTTACTGCTCACAGCACACTGGCAAGTTCTGGTGATTTCATATTTAAGTCTGCTTACTTTGACGGCCATACTTCTTTTCCAAAGAATCTTCCAAGTTTAGTTTCGTCTTCAGGATGGTCGTCCATCTTGTGTTTGCCAGTCAACAGACCACCAGCTAACTGCAAGAAACATGCTTTGGTTTAGTACATTGGTTTGGTTTACCAACCCCCGCTAGTAACTTCAGACAAAGGGCCTTCGCTAGAAACGTCGAAATTCTCCAATATATTTTCCAGGTAGTTGCATCCCTACCAACGAACGCTAACGTTTGTTTATACGCAATTCATAACTTTAGATAAGTCACATGCCTACATGTAGCTACGGTTGTTCTAGTTTACAGAAGCATAGCATAGAACAAAGGTAACTAAGTTTTAGAATTATCTGCATGAATGAATAACTCTTATACATAATTCTAACGCCTAGTTATCTTTGTTATATGCTATGCTTCTGCAAACTAGAACAATAGTAACTAGGCATTCGAGTTATCCAAAGTTCTGAATATACACTTCCGGAAAGTAGGTCACAGCGCCGGTGATGATGCATCTGGAGGACAAATTAGCAATGTTTGCATGCATAATATAACGTTTGTAAATAAAGCAAATTTTGTAAAAGTTTATTACAATTTTGTATTGAAATGGTTAATTTTTGCGCTGTACGTGGTTGTTGTACCCGAACAGATATTGTTAGGGAGCATCTGGAGGACACTCTAAGGATTAGTGACGTCAGTGCAATGGGTCTATATATCTCGTTTTTGTGATTGAGACATGGTTTTTATTAGCTTGAACGGTTTAAATTGGTTTATGGTAGAATGCACCTACTTGAGATAACATTAATTTGTTTCTTACCATATTGTAGGCAAAGAATCGTACTCCTAGTCTTCGCATGCAAGGAAACAATTCTGTCTCAACCATCCTGTGAAAAAATACACCATTATAATACAATAACATAAGGGAGAATCCCATTGACTGCTACGGGTTCTACGTGACCGCTTTGCTTGGACGAAATGTGAAGCAGGATAATTTTGACTTATCGAAATTAAGTGCAGTTCATGATTGAGCAAAACTGCATTATTTTCCTGGTGCTAGATTACAGTACAATTGCAAACGAGAGGTTGTTCAAGCATCGATAACAAACCTCTTGGACACCACCTGACAACCTCCAGTCCTAGGTTTCAGATCATTGACCTCAAATTCACTTCAAACACTCATTAATAATTCATAAGCTTATTGGCAAATCATGTCAACCATAATATGTCACGTGCAGTGGCTTTAAACCTCATAAAACACTCCTAATTAGTATTCCATAATATGTCACGTGCAGTGGCTTTAAACCTCATAAAACACTCCTAATTAGTATTCTTTATATAAATAATACTAATAAGGCAGTATCTATTGTAGTCATGTCCGTTTTTTTATATAAAGAATACTAATAAGGCAGTAATCTATTGAATTTGTAGTCAGTCATGTCCGTTTTTTATATAAAGAATACTAATAAGGCAGTAAATCTATTGAATTTGTAGTCGTGTTTGAAGCCGTTTAATAAACTCGCAGTTCGTGTTTTATTAGGTCTAAAGCCACTCGCGCTGCGCACTCGTGGCTTTAAACCTAATAAAACACTCCTGCTCGTTTATTAAACAGTAGTTTATGTACTATTGAGCAACAGTGTTTTATCAGATATAAGGATAAAACATGCACGCACTGCGAATGTTTTAAATGTTTTACAACGATCGATCTGGTAAGTACATTGGCGAAGTAATTTTCAAAAAAGTTAGAATTATTGTTAAAGTTAAAATTTATGTAAATCAAGGGAAATCTCTATCACATATAAAGATACGACACGCTTATAATTTTTCTTTGTGTTTTCCTCATTAATTATTTGTGCTTAAAAAATCACCCATCTTTTGAGTTCATTGGCGAAGTAATTTAAAAAATAAACATTGTCTAAGCCGAGAAAATCAAAGCTGAAGTTTATGTAAATCAGAGCAAATCTTTATCTGATTTACAAACATTGATTAAACATTCATTTCTTTTGTATTTTCCTCATGAATTATTAATGAAGCAGCAATAACAAACCTCTTGAACTATGAGATCTTCACGACAACATTTCAGTCTTTAATAGGCGTTTGAACTTTCCTTTAAGCCTGCAAGCCTGGGGGACTTACTTCAATACATCAAAGTTACCCCGCCTGCCATCCCGTCCCTTCAAACCGGGATGATGTAAACAACCTCTAAAACTAAACTAAATGAATTAAAGTAAATAATGTGAACTTTAGCAATATTGATAGAAGCCTTCAATACCTGGTGAGTGGGTTATACATTCCTTGGTAAACTGTTGGTAGAACCCAGTCATGTAATTTACAGATGTAGTAAATCTCCGCCTACAACAATTGTTGAAAGGAATTTATATGCACGAATTTACAACTGACTACGCATCATGCATGAGTTACCCAGTAACCAAAGCCAGGGCATATCAGTAGTTGAATAAAATTAAATATATGTTGTAAAATTAGTAAAAGTAAGATCTAGATATAAAAAACATATTTTAACCACAGTATCCTGTTGGGCTCTTGCAAATGACGTCACAACACGTATTTGTTAACTCTGCCATTTTGGGTGGCAAATTAAAAATAGTTATAATAGTTAAAAGAAAACATGGCGCAAAACCAAGGCTGTAGCACTGACTGCCGTTGTTGCTTTTGTTGGAGCATTTTGAAGAGTTACAATGGTCCACAGTGTGAAGTAGTCGGTTGAATAAGATATTTTTGTCACCCAAAAATAACGAATTATTTTTGATGATACAGTACTTCATACTGCAAGGCCTGAATTAGGCCAGGGTCCATTTTGGGCTCGTTTTGGAAGTTGTTTCTGTTTGTACAACTTTTTTGTACAAATATTTTATAGGAAAAGGGATTCCACAGAAAATCCTGTATCATCTTGTCCTTGTACAATTATTGACAGCGAGTAAGATTCGGAACGGATATGTGTAGAAAGTTACTATTCATCATTCTATACTCATGTTCTCCATCAAGAATCTCACATTGAGTGCTACTATGCAGATACAGTTGAACTTCTATTAAACGGACACCTTTAAGGATTCACTAATGTGTCTGCCAGGGTTATACTAGTCTAATACTGTTTTATTAACATTGGACCAGAGGTTTGTGTTCGCTTAAAGGGGTGTGTCTGGGGTTAAAATAACAGTGTTTTTAATTATTAACATTGAACCAGAGGTTTGTGTCCGCTTAAAGGGGGTGTCTGGTTAAGAGAGGTGTCGGTTTATAGAGTTTCGGCTGTATTTTATCTACTGTATCTTACCAACTCCCATGCAGCATAATTGCTAATTCCAAGTTCCTTGAACTTTCCCTCTATAAAAAATATGCTTTTTTTAAAACACAGTTATTTTCGACGGCTTTGTGGGGACTATAGTTCCCAACCTCGATCTCAAGTATAGATCTATACCAGATAACGAGATTACTTTAGATTGGTCTGAACAATATTTCAGCCCAGCTTCTCATGTCAAATAGAGACTACAGGACAACACCATGAGCGAAATCGTTCAGCTCTGACTTCGAGATTTTGTTGGCACCTCATTCGATTCAATAATAGTTGAAAGGTCTTGTGATGGAAACTATGGAGTGGAAATGTATATATTACATACATATGCTCTTGAGTTAGAAATGATGAACACCAAAAAATCTCTTGTTTCCGTTTGTTATCGACCACCGAATTGTAACTTAAATGAATGGCTTGAATTATTCAAAGCATTTCTGAATGATACTTCCCACTACGATAAAGTTCTTATCACTGGTGACTTTAATTTTCCAGACTTAAATTGGAATTCCTCACTTCTACCGAATATATCAGAAAGGACCCCTTCGGTTGGTTCATCAGAGTTTAGAGAACGTACATTCGACTTTTTTTTGCACCAAGTGAATATGTATCCCACAAGACTAAACAATATCTTAGACCTTATCCTAACAAACACTTCAGAAAACATTGGTAGTTTATCATGCGTTTCAGCAAAATCTTTGAACCTTTCAAGTGACCATCGTCTGATGTTCTTCGATTTTATGTTTCACTTAAAAATGCCAGGGCATGACAAGAGAACTGTATTCAATTTCAAACTTGCTGATTGGGACGGTCTACGAAATGCAATAGTCAATCAAACTACTTTTCCTTCTAACCAGTCAACTGACGTCAACACCGATTGGGAGCGATGGAAAGGTCTCTTTCTCAGAGTTGCTACTGAATATATTCCATTAAAATCGTTCAAAAGGAGCAACTCACCTCCCTGGATTGACGGTGAAGTTAAACGTATTCTCTCGAAGAAAGATAAGTGCAGAAAACGGGCTAAACGCGACGCATCTCCTAGACTTTGGGAAAAGTTCCGCGAACTTTGAAGATCAGCCAAAACGTTAATACAAGCTAAACGTACGGAGTATTTTCAAAAACTAAACGTACGGAGTATTTTCAAAAACTTCCATCTCTGTTAAAGTCCAGTAGCAAAAAGTTCTGGTCACTATTTAAATCCACCTCAAATCACTCCAACATCCCTGCTAAAATGTCATGGTCCATTCAAGATTCAACGTCTTCGACTGCTGACAACCCAGTTGATATTGCTGATATGCTAAATCGCTACTTCTACTCGGTGTTTCAAACTCCCGACCATACCCACAGCCAACTCTCCCCTGTTGATTTTGAAGATGACATGACCGATCTAACCACCATATCAGATCTTACTCTAACCGAAGGAGAAGTTCGTTATGTACTTCGAAATCTTGACGAAGAGAAAGCAACTGGTCCTGACAAAATCCCAGCAGTATTACTAAAAAACTGCGCGGCTAGTATAGCTCCGTCATTATGTGAACTTTTCAACAAAAGTTTATCGTCTGGTCAACTTCCGTCAGAATGGAAGTTGTCTAATGTTTGTCCAATCCCAAAGAAAAGTCCACTTCATGAAGTTTCCAATTATAGACCAATTTCACTTCTGTCGTTAGTCTCGAAGGTATTTGAACGTTGCATATACAATAGACTTATAGATCATATCTCCAGCAAACTGAATGAGTTACAGTATGGTTTTCAAAGAGGCAAGTCTACCACTTCCCAGCTTTTACATGTTCTTCACAACATTCATGAAATGCTTGAAAAAAGATGCCAAGTTGACACGATTTACCTCGACTTTGCGAAAGCATTTGACAAAGTAAGTCATGACCTTTTACTTGTGAAACTCCATAACTTTGGCATCAAAGGTAATCTTCTTCGTTGGTTCAAAGATTATCTTTCTGGGCGTTTTCAAAGAGTCACTGTACATGGTGTTACATCTCAGCCGCTCCCAGTACTATCCGGCGTTCCCCAAGGATCAATTCTTGGACCAATCCTCTTTCTTATCTACGTAAACGATCTTCCCGATAGCGTCTCCCAAGATACTGCCGTGTCAATGTTTGCTGATGATACTAAATGTCATCGCGCTGTTCGTAACCCCCAAGACAGAGAAATCCTACAATCAGATCTTAACAATATTACGAACTGGTGTCAAGACTGGAGGATGGATTTAAATAAATCCAAGTGCGGAGTTCTTCAATTTACTCGTTGTCTCCAACCTACTATCAACCAGTACACATTAGCTGACATCCCAGTCAAACCTTTAACCTGTGTAAAAGATCTTGGCGTAAGTATCACCAAAGATATGAAGTGGAACCAGCACGTGCAGGACTTATCCTCAAAAGCTAACAAAATGCTGGGTTTTGTCAAGAGAACAGCGTCCGGCATTCACGATAAAAGAGTTCGAAAGATACTGTACTTGACCATCGTTCGAAGCCAGCTAGCTTACAGTAGTCAAGTGTGGGCACCCCAAACTGTCAACAACATCCTAACGATCGAACGGTTGCAGCGACGTGCATCAAAATTTATTCTTTCGCTCCCGTACAAAACATCTATCCCGTATAAGAAACGATTGGCTACCATCGAAATCCTCCCTCTATGTTACTGGCATGAGTATTTAGATATGGTGTATCTTCACAAATGCCTTATAAATAACTCTGACAATAACATATCTATAAAGATCCCTACACGAGAAACAAGAAATACTAGTTCAACTAACGGCATCCTACTTCATGTAACCAAAAGTAAAACTGTTTCTTTTCAAAACAGCTTTTACATCAGAGCTGCTAATGTATGGAACACGCTTCCCGGCTTCATAAGAAATACCACCACATCTCTAACTACATTTAAATGTAATCTAATGAAATACTACGTAGAATTAACCCAACAAATTTATGACCCTGAAGACCCAAGAACATTTAAGTCTGTGTGTATTAAATGTCACACCACTCGCCCACTAATGAACTTATCAACCCGAACATGTTGCTAAATTTAGTTTTTGTTCGTTTGTTCGTCAATACGTTTGCTTTATTTGTGTTTAATTGTTATGTTTGCTTTAACTTCAAAATAATTAGATATACCATTAGTTGTTCTTTTTTGGAACCCCGTTATTGGAGAACTATCTCTGTGTGGAAATTCCAGTCATTTGTAACCATAGTACTCTATATAGATCTATTGCAATGGCAAACTTGTAAAATAAAATAAAATAAAATAAATAAATATATATGTATATTGTCTTGTAGATGGGCTTACCTGTCAAAACGTTCCCAGGTCAAAACGTCCCCAACTTAAGTCAAAATGTTCTCATGTCAAAATATCCCAACTAAAGTCAAATCTGTTGGCTAAATATCAGATATTCTGTCAATTTTAAAGTAATTTTTAACTATTTTTACATATAATATTTTTGGATTTCTTCTGATCTGATCAAGGAACTAAATCAACCACGGTATTATTAAAATTCTTTGCGAATAAATTCATTGCCAAATAAACAATTAATTCAGAGTTTCATACTGTAATCCCATGTGTCGCATAATTTGGGAAACTTGTGTTGTAACCCTATGAACATGTTTATTCTTTTATAATTCAGTTGCAGTTCAATTTATTTGAACACAAGAGTTAAGGTTTTTTGGCCTGGGGACGTTTTGACCTGCATGGGGACGTTGTGACTGGATACCGTAGATGGAACTGATCGAGTGGACCACTCGATAATCTCCATCTACAAGACCCTTCAGCTCTGACTTCGTCTACAACCTGCAAGCGGGTCCTTAAAAACCAGCTATTGATAAATCTAGAGGCCGCACACGAAGACTGCATACTTCCATCAGCGAATCAAGTTATTTGTATCATCCACAAATTATACAATGGGCCATTCAGTTTACTCTGCTAGGCAAAGCAAGACAAACGTTTGCTAATTTCTTGTGCAATTTTCACACAAATTCAAGCAAAATTTAATCAATTTGTCCTTGGTTAATACTGTACGTTTGATATTTGTGAAGTATGCGACAAACACATACACAAAGACACACATATTCAAACAGGGATAAAACACAACTATATACTTGTCGGAGGTAATAATTAAAATTTCAAAATGTTATGAACGTACGTTTGTGCAAGTGATCACAAGCTTTTAAAGTTTCTTCAATGGGATAATTCCGATCAGGATGATGTAAATAAAAGATGTCCACATGGTCAGTTTGTAAGTTAGACAAAGATTGTTCCAGCTGTTCAACAATACCATCAAAACTGAATCCTATATATACAACAAATAAGCATACATTCAGGGGATTAGCAATTGGGAAATTTAGCACTTGTCAACAAGTTGTAACAATGCTGTTATTTTATTAAATTGCTACAAGATTGTCACTCACAACGGACATGTACAACCTGTTGATAAATTGTTGAATTGCAGGACGATAACAAGTTGTTGGAAAACTTGTGACAAGTCTGTTGAGCTCAACAACCTTGTAGCAAGTTGTCAACAAGCCGTTGACTTTTCAACAAGCTGGGAACACGGAGTGCGAACACATCCTGTTGACAAACCTGGATTAAAATTTAACCCGCTGTTTTGGTTTGTGTACCTCTGCACGTCTGTTTATTTCAAAACTTTAGAAAATTAAACTTCTGATGATCCGTGAAAGATTTCCGAAAAAATATTTATAATATTGGGAGGTATACTTTGAATTTCACGTTAATTAACCCAGGGTTAAGGGTTTCACGTTAACCGCCTAGTTTTGAACAACTGGCCCCCTGCATCCAATCTTTCCTTTCGATATCAGGCGCTGTACACAGCACAGCCATAACAACACCACTGTATTTTTTCTGTGTTGGTGTTGTGTACTCAGGTGAATAATATGTTCGCGATGTTACTCTGAGTGCATATCCACACCGGGCGAGCTTGAAAAATATGCCCGGCCACGGTGGAAAGTATTGAGTAATCATAGTATTCCAAAGGTCGTAGGTTCGAATCCCACCGTGGCCGGGCATATTTTTCAAGCTCGCCCGGTGTGGATATGCACTCAGAGTAACATCGCAAACATACCACTGTATTTATCAATACAACTTCCAGAATTTCATGTAGCTAACGAAAAAGAGGTTTCTGCCCACGTTCGATCACCATTTTGAAAATGAAAGAAAACAACACACGACTGTTAGTAGTATTACCCGGTACATACAGGATCGGAAGTAATTAGTATTCAGTGAGTATTTGTGTTGTGCGTATGCGTGCGTCTTGATAAGGATGTGCCAGGGCGATTGCGCACGGTGTGTGTACTACGAAGAGAATGAACAAAAAATTGTTTTAAAAATATTTATTGAAAACGAATAACTGTTTTTGAACATAATAAAAATTTTAGATGTAACGGTTCGAAGAATGTTTATTGATTTTCGTTCCAGTACTACAGAGAACCCACAATGACCTGATATTCGGAGGAATTTGATTTGAACTTTAGATCCTTTAGGAATTCAAGAGTTGTTTTGTGTTTTTTTGTTAGGTTTTTAAAATATTCTATTACAGTACAGTACATGTTCGTATTGTTCCATTTTCATTTTTAAACTGTTTGACTTTCAAAAGGGCGAAAAATGGGGTAACACGAATACGAAATCGTATTGATTTTTAGACAAAACATGGAAGAGAGGCACATTAATTATGAGACCATGCCGCTACCCACTTCATACCGCTACCCCTGCATGAGCTTATGAGCGCATGACGGCTCACAGCCCCCACTCATAAGCTCATCCTGCATGAGCGTATGAGCACATAAGGCTCGTTTAGGCCCGATGGCTGGGTGTACATTCTTCGTTCGTGGAAGCCACTGCAATAAATGATTAGTATACAAATGTATACATTTTCGCGCGTTTTTGCCATTTTGATTTGTACCCGGCCGACAAAAATGACAAGAAAACATTTGCAGCCACAGACATCCGCACCACGTTTTCCGCACTCTAAGATGACATTTGCATCGATACAATCTAGTATAACGCGTAGTTTTTGTACACACTCGATATGTATTGTAGAATGCTAAGTCGCGATGAGGGGTCAATGTGGGGTCGATAAGAGGTCGATGAGACGTCGATGTAGGGTCGATGTGGGGCATTGCAGGTATCTAGGCACAAAAACAGCACCAAGCGGATTTCAATTTCCCACCAAGTGGAATTCAACTTTTGGATTTCGCACCAAGTGAAATTCAACTTCCACCATAAATTTTCTTTGTTGGTTGTGCGTATTAAGAGCAGGTGCTCATCTGCTCATAAGGCCGGTTTAAACCCAAACTACTACGTATAGATTTTGTTAGATTTTCAAAATCATGTCGGGTACAATTTTGTGCGATGCGTCATAACTGCTCATGAGCACATGCTCATAAACCTGCAGTGCTGCTCAATAACAATGTATTTATGCACAGTCAGTGCTAACGGAATGAACTGCCAATTTTGCGGAAAGCAATTTAACCTTGGTTACAATCGACGTAGACACGAAAAGGAATACTGTCCCCTAGGTGCACAAGAAAGAAACATGTCTCAAACAAACTCCGATAGCCTGGAAAAGGATTTCCAAGGCGATGTCTCCACAACTTCAACTCATGGGTCTGAAATTTCGACTGATAATGAGTCAGAAGAAGAAATGCATCCTTGGATACCGCTGATAGAAGAAGCAAAGCAACGAAGTAATATAGCTTTTGAGGAAATAAAAGAAAGCCTTATCAACATTGGCCTAGATAAGCAATCCGTTAAGGGCAAAGCTTACTCTAATATTTTGCCTAAACTCCCGAAGCAACTGGAAAATATTCACATGGAGCATCTTGTGTGGATGAGACAACTAAAGAATTATCCAGTACATACGAAAATTATGCACACAAAGATGAGCTTGAGGAAAACAATGATTTTGATCCAGAAGAAGCCATGGAAGCAGCTGTTAATAAGAGAAAGTTTATTATTAGAAGGCTTTTAAAGGGTTACAAATTTGATGAAAAGAATGATGATGTTGATGAAGAGAATGATGATGATGAAAAGAATGATGATGTTGATGAAAAGAATGATCATGATGATGAAGAGAATGATGATGATTAAACTCGATTAATAGGACTGAAGTCATGTATTAGCATGTAAAAACATACCAGTATTAAGACACAGCATGTGAACTTCGAGTCATTCAATAAATTGCTTTTCCTGTCTTTTCTTGTCATTTTTACATGGGTCGGCCGGGTACAAATCAAAATGGCAAAAACGCGCGAAAATGTATACATTTGTGTATTAATAATTTTTTGCAGTGGCTTGCACGAACGAAGAATGTACAGTACACCCAGCCATCGGGTCTAAACGGGCCTTATGAGCAGATGAGCATGTGCTCATGAGCAGTTATGAGCATGTGCTCATATGCTCATGCAGGATGAGCTCATGAGTGGGTGCTCTGAGCCATCGTGTGCATAGTTAATTCATGCAGGGGTAGCGGTATGAAGTGGGTAGCGGCATCGTCTCATAATTAATGTGCCTCTCTTCCATGTTTTGTCTAAAAATCAGTACGATTTGTATTCGTGTTACCCCATTTTTCGCCCTTTTGAAAGTCAAACAGTTTAAAAATGAAAATGGAACAATACGAGCATGTAACAGAATATTTTAAAAATAGGTACGCAGTGCGTACATGTTGCATGCCTTCTGAGACTTATGATAGCACTTATAACCTTTGGTACAACTGGCGTGAAACTTAAAAATATTGATTCAACAAGTTTAATAATATCAATATATTTATTGAAAAATAGCTTTTATGTCAAAATAAGAAACTTAAGATTCTCACACGAATAGGCAATGTTTTTATGAGCGACCGTTCATTGTTAGTTGCAAGCGACGGTAATAACAAGGTCAAGGTCGGTCAAGGTTTTATCGAAAGCGATTGACTGTTAGATTTCCTTTACAAATTTATAACTAAATATTAAACGTAATTTCCTATAGATTTAGCTTTATTGTAACTTTTAAAACGTATAAAAAACCGTGGAAACGGTGAATTACTATAATAGATTGAAAATGATTATTAATTAAACTATGATTGAAATTGTCGAAGTAGAAAAATCATAAAGGTACTAGTCAGCTAATATGACCTGTATGGTCGTTTGAGTGATTGAAATGAGTTAATTTACACTATATCGAATGTCATGCTGAATGTCATGTTGGATCTTATGCGTACTTCACAATGGTTGCTATTTCGTTGTATTAAATTTCAATACTATTTATAATTCAAATTTTGTTTGATATTTATTGTATATTTCATGTTATTTACAAAATGTGCTGTAGTTTTGAAGCTTTGCACAGAATATAATTAGTGCGAGCACAATGGCTTCGTTTCAGTATATAAAAATTGAGTGTTTTGATAGCGTGGGCTTTGAGGCTTTCACGATATATTGATAATAAACGCCTGATAATTGATAAATAATCAGTGCGAGCACAACGGCTCCAAAATAACAGAATATAAGGTAAGTTAAAAACAGTAAAGCTATACCTACCTCGACCTATTTTCTAAGGCGCTCAATTATGTAAATTTTCGGCAAATATTAATAATCAATATTTCTTTGCGTTTCCTCAACGAAAACCCGGCATGAAAATGCTCGTCGGAAAAACTCGGTATTAGTCGTCTTTTACGAATTTGCCACGTAACTGGTACGCTCACCACCGCTCACCGCTCACCGCCGCTCACCGCGACACGAAATTTAGAGCTATATGAAAGTTGCATGCCATATATGGCATGCAACAAAAACCTAACAAAAACCATAAAACAACTCTTGAATTCCTAAAGGATCTAAAGTTCAAATCAAATTCCTCCTAATATCAAATCATTCTGGGTTATCTGTACTACTGGAACGAAAATCAATAAACACTCTTCGAACAGTTACATCTAAAACTTTTATTATGTTCATAAACAGTTATTCGTTTTCAATAAATATTTTTAAAACAACTTTTGTTCATTCTCTTCTTAGTACACACACCCGTGCGCACACATCCGTGCGCACACCCTTATCAGGACGCACGCGTGCGCACACCCCAAATAATCACTGAATACTAATTACTTTCGATCCTCTATGTACCGGGTAATACTACAACTGTTCTTCTTCTCTGAAACATTAATTTAACGCTGAAGTACATAAAACAACTTATAAAGTTAACCAACCTTTTTCGCTAAAGCCAGGGTACGCTTTTGTCGCAATGTACATCTAAATGAATTATTAATAGTAATTATTTTTTCGTTGAATTTATCTATTAAACCCTGAAACCATACCTGGAACTTTGGCAGCTTTTATAATTATACAACATTATCAATAAGCATATTAGAGAGGCAGCAATAGAGAGACATCTGTATTAGGAAGGTGTGTTTATGTTGGAGAGATGTCCCTATTAGAGAGGTGTCTGTATTAGAGAGGTGTCTTTAATCATACTTGTCCATCTGACAAGATTGTAACTACAATGATACCTTGGATCTACCTTCTTTTACTACATATTTTCCCATGATCTTTTCACTTTTACTTCCATTATACCTAAACCATAAAAACATTAATTTAAGACTATAGTTAATAAATAATATGTTTATACAAGATACCATTAATTATCGTCCAGCTGAACTCTTCAGCTAAAGTATGGCTAAACTATTTTTTGAAAATAATTGAGAAGTGCATAGGTTGAAGGATGTACTGTAGACTACATCTGGATGATTAGCCGTGGCAATTTCCGGCCTCCCATGTGGAACCTGATCATGCAAATTTGAGTGTATTTCAAATTCATCCTGTCCTGTGTACTGTGAGACTTGGAAATTAAAGAAATTAAGCGCCACTTTAAGTCCAATAAAACTTACATCAAGGCAGTATCAAACCATTTGAGACCTTTATTCAAACAGTAATCCATAACCTCAAAACTCTAATAAAACAAAAATTTCACAATGCTGCATAATATAATTAAGAGTTTATGACGTAACTAATACATAGATAAGAGTACCGTAACAAAGGTAACTGTCAGATTGTTTAACTCTCTAGGTGGCAAGGTGCCCAGATGCCCCCCACTTCATTATTTTACTATGTCTAATGCCAGAAGATTTTAGTCGTCAGGGAGAGCGTGCTGCCACTCGATATCAGACTATCTGCCCATGCGCCCTGTTAACTCTTTAAGTGGCAATGCGCCCAGATGCGCCCCACTTCAAACCACGAATGCTTCTTCTCACCCCCAAAAAGTGTCTTCACTAGCGAGTTGTTTTCATGTCAAAACATTTAGGCATGTGACTGCATTCTACACCTACTAAAACTACGCAGCACCCCCCCCCCCAAAAAAAAAAAAATTGTCCGGCGGTAGACAGAGTAACATGATAATTAAAGTAGCGTGAAATCTAGTCAAATTGTCAATTATAGGGTTAATAAGACATATCACACATGGCAGCACTTTGTCCTTTTATTTATGATTTTATGAATTTTTTATGAAGTATATGTTTGACATGTGTGAATTTGTATATAGATCGAGGGAAACTAGGAAAGGTAGTCTCAACCAGTTTAATAAAGCCAAGAAATAGGTACAGACATTAGTAAGATATATTATATTTTGATACCTCTGATTCATTTGTCTGCCTGCCAAATTCCATGGCACCAATCTGTGTGTCAACCATTTTTCTGCAACTATCTGAAGTGTCTGCTAATGAAAAAAAAAGGTGATGTATTATCCATATAAGGATTAGTGTTCACTTGGTACTTGCCAGCAATATTTTAGCAGGATTTCTGTATTGTTATACAGTACTGCCAAGAAATAACTTATCAAAAACCGCATCCAAGACGCGGGTATCTTGCGTCCACTGTGCGTCCACGGGCGCCTGCGTCCATCCTGCGGGTGCCACGCGTCCGTCGTGCGTCCACTGTGCGTCTGCGGGCGCTTGAGGGTGCGTCCACTGTGCGGGCGCCATGCGTCCGCTTTGCGTCTGCTGGCGAGGACGCTGCTGAGAAAGAGTTCTCTTCGTACACTGTCGGACATTATCGCGTTTCGCTTTTCATAAACAAACTGTGGGCGTCGGGAAATATTCATGCTAGCGATTTCACACCACGTTTTTATACACAAACGTTGCAGACCTCTATTTTTATATTTCTAATATTAAACTTACCGTGAAGTTTCAGAATTTGTGCTTCGTAAAGTTCCTTTTCGTATTCGACCTTTACTTTCGCACCTTCGTATAACGTTTGGTTTAAACCCTGTATATTTCTTTTAACGTTGTCGGTTGGAATTGCAAAATGCACGTGGTTTCATATCTTCTTCGAAAAAAACCAACATACGTTTTGGTTGACGAGTAACAGTAAGCGATCGATAACTCATTTTATTAGTCTGACAGTGATACGGATCGAGTGATGTTACTAGCCTCTGAGCTCTTCAGGTCGGCTTTAGCGAATATCAAATGTGTAAGCAGCTGTGATTTATACTGCAACTTTGAATATCAAGCAGTGAGTCACAGTCATTGAAACACAAAGACTGTTTCCTGGACATGTAAAAGTATTCCATTAAGGGATTAAGAGAAGTAATTTATCCAGAAATTATAACAAGTCCAATAATAGTGGTCGGTTATTTATATAGTTAGTAATGATTCATACGCATTGAGCTGAGCACACCTGAGTGACCTATAGAAAAATGTTCATGGACCTTTTTAAAATATTAATATTTTTAAAAACTCACTTTCCACTAGCGTTTGGTTTTGCCTAATGTCTCAATCAATTCCATGGTTGCCCATCCCCCCCCCCCCGGGCGTTTGTCGGGCATTCTCAACTGCACTTGTTCCCAGGGTCGGGCATTTGTTTTCTGCAGGTTAGCCCCGGGGTGGGTAATTTGCTGGAGGCTAAAAAGTCGAATATTTGTCGCTTGTTTCGCTATTTAGCCGCATTTTAGTACATACGTTATATGTGCGTGCGTACTGCGAATTAATCTTGGCGGACATACACACTTTAGACTTTTTTTCTTGTCCATACTGTTGATTCATTGACTTACTTCCGCAGTTTGATATTGTTATATCAAGTTTTGAGACTTCAATTCAATATTTTAATTATAAACGTTTTGAAACGGAATGCCTATACAGAATCGATTTTAAATACAGATATATTGATACGAGATAGCGCTTGCATTCGATTTGGATCAGATATCCTCAGAAAACTTATATTTTGTCCCCCAAGGGTGGGGCATTTGCGTCAATGTAATTCCCCAAGGGTGGGGATTTTGCTGCATTATTTGGACCCCATAGTGGGGCATTTGCAACGTTTTTTCGCCAAAATGACAAATGCCCGACAAACGCCTTGGGGGGATGGGCACCCATGGAATTGATTGAGACATAAGGCTCCCTGATGCTTGGGAATGGAGAACAATATAAAACGCTAATTGCATAAATGACACTGTGTTTTACACTGTTTTAGTAAATTTGCCAGGCGAATACTGAGCAGTGTTTTTCCCAAAAAGGGTTTCTTTATAAAGCCTAAGCCTGGCTTTTAGTTAAAAGTAACTGCATATAGTATTACATACTGCATGACCGAGATCAGTGTGAGCTTAAAATTACCGCTTAAAATTGTCTTCCTAGTCATAGTATTTATAAAGTCTGCTATACATGTAGCGTTCCATGACTTTGCTAATAATGGGAAGGAGTGAGATTGGGCAATAATTTTCTGCCGGTTCTTTCTGTTTCTTCTTGTGTATGGGCGTGACATTTGCTGATTTCCACTCCGAAGGAACTCGACCGGATACTAGTGAATGATTGAAGACATCACAAAGGCTTGGTGCGATTTGTTGGTGACATTCCTTCAGGAGTCTAGAAGGGATGCCATCAAGACCGCATGCTTTTGACGTATCCAAACCGTTCAAACATTCCGAAATTTCATTCACGTTGATGGTAACATCAGATAATGTATGATCAGTTCTCAATGGAATGAAGTTATTAGCATCAGCTAAATGTGTGTTAGGTCGCGAGGGTGTGAAAACAGAAGAAAAATACATGTTGAAAAGTTCAGCTTTGTGGGCAGCAGTCTTTGTCGTGACACCTTTGAAAGAAATTTCTGCATTTGAGCTAACACGATGATGGAGCATGGATTTGTGATAACTCCAGAATAGTTTTGGGTTATCTTGAAAATAATTTTTGACTTTGGCAAGATATTCACGATATTTTCGTCTAACTAAGTATGTGATGGTTTGAGTCAATGTTCGTAGTTTATGTTTACGAGCGGCAGACTTGGATTGTCGAAATTTCTTCAATGCTGCGTATTTCTTTCGAATGAATTGACGTACTTCTCCGTCAATCCAAGGTGGCGAGTTAGTATCCATAACCAATTTCACTGGAATGAAATTATCAACATGCATCAGAAACCATTCCTTCCAACGACACCAGTGCTCGTCAATGTTTTCTGGGAGTGTACCATCAAATGGTGTGTTAGATAGAGACTTGCGCATATCTTCAAAATTTCCGCGCCTGTAATCGAACACTGTCCGTCTAATAGATTTAGCCCGAGAGAAAAATCAGATTGTTCGGGAGCAGATGTTGATACACCTCAAATGATTTCAGGACAGTTGCACAAAACTGGGTCAAGTTTATTACCACCGCGATGCGTCGGACCAGGAATTAGTTGTTCAAGAAAATAATCGGCAAATAGTTCGCAAAACTTGTCTTCCAGATGTCCTCCGATATTGGAGGGGCTTGGTTGATCAAATGACCAGTCAGTTGCAGGGAGATTAAAGTCACCAACTAGAAGAACACAGCTAGATTCATGGATATTTGCAAGGGATGAACTCAGTTGTTGTTGTGTAAGGATAACCTGGAGGGCGATCTATAGTAGGTATACAAAATGATGGACTGATTATTAAGTTGGGAAAGTTCAACGACGACAAGTTCAATGCCTTATAGTGTCCTTTGCAGCAACTAGAACGCCACCACCATTTCTCTCCACCCTGTCGTTACGGAAGATGGAATATCCCTTCAACAACTCGCTGTCAAGGACCGAATCATTGAGCCAAGTTTCACATACACTAACAATGTCGTAATCGCCACTGTAGACCAATTGCTGAAATAAGGTAATTTTGCAAACTTTGGATGGATCGTTGTCATCAACCTGAACGAATGCTTTAATAGCATATCAACTCATCGGCAATCTTTTACGGAGGTAAGTCAGAATTTGAGCAGCAAAATACTTGTCGTAGTCGTGATCTCGCTGAGTTTATAAAATTATGTGTCTACATTATACTTAATTAATTATATAGTTTATGTCCAACATATTTTACGCTCTGATATACAGTCATATCGGCTTCGATCGCGACTCGAGTTTGTGTGATTACATTGTGAAAGCATATTACATTTCGTATAACATTATAAAATGGTATTTGCTGTGTTGGTGTAATGTACTCAGGTGAATAATTAAAATGCTTGTGTGATGTTACTCTGACTGGATATACACTCAGAGTAACATCACACAAGCATATTATAAAATGGTTATACTAAATGTAGGGGTGCACCGGATTTCAAATCCGGCCGGAATTCCGGCCGGATTTAACGAATTTTCCGGCATCCGGCTTCCGGCCGGATTTGGAGAAAATCCGGCCGGATTTAAATTTCTGTTTTCAGCTTTCAAAATTCACCAAGAATGGGATAAACCATCAATTTGGCAGCTTTAAAGTTTAAAAAACCCTTATATTATTATAAAATATTAAGTTATTAACAAAAACATATTTAAAAAAGGTTTAAACACAATCAAAAATCTAAACTGACACTAACTAAAAATTGTACTGAAAACATAAACCGCCATTTTGAATACTGATTTATCACCAATTGTCCCCATTACCGGTTAATCTCAAATCCGGCAAATCCGGCCGGAATTCCGGCCGGAATTTTTGTCCAATTCCAAATCCGGTGCACCCCTAACTAAATGTAATGCTTAGGTTCAATGAAACTCATTTTCAGATTGAACTTTTAATTCTTTTCTTCTCCGATCAGTGACACTGATCTGTATTCTCACAACAAACTACGAGTATGATGCAAATAGTCCGTTTTTCCGATTATGTTACGACGACTGCGTCCAAGAGGATGCAGTTCTCAACTAGAGACCGGACGCGGGCGCTCTGGAGGCAGGACACAGGCAGACGTGGGGTTAAGTTATTTCTTGGCAGTACTGTACATGCCTATAATGTGGCACTTTTAGAGTGACTATGCAAGTCATCCACTACCAGTACATAGCAGTCATATTTTCAAAACTCACTCAAGGGTGGTGCTTTTGCGCTATTGGAATGAGGGGGAGGTGTAAGAGTCATTTCCTTTGCAGAGTCATTTCCTTAAAAATTTCTCTACATTTTAGCTATAATTAGTTTTTATTATTAGTATATCCTTTTCTAGTGGCAATGGTTAATCAGTGTCATTCCAATGCTTAATTTTTCCCATTCCTACCAATTCATGTTTTGCCGACTACAAAACCAATTTGCCGACTGAGATAAAATAACTAATAATGACTACTGTACCTGACAACTGGGGAGTATTCCACCACCCTTCATCTCACTAATCAGTTAATATATTTGTTAAACTTACAGAAGTTGGAATTTTGGCAGATCTCTATTTCTATGTCTGTTTTTACAATTTTGCTATTGTTTTCCACCTAATTGTTGCTGTCACAATTTGATTAACAATTCATGTAGTATGTACATTACTGACATTCCCTATGTATATCACCATAGAGAAGGGTTAATAGAGGGCCTCCATACTTTTTGCACAAAGTATTTGGGGACATGGGTGTATTTGATTTAGCTGTGAAACATGGTTGATTATTTTCTTCTTACTCTGTGATTTATGATAGTGTATGGCATCAAATTATTTTGAAACCATACATGTGATCTCATGCCAATATGTCAACAAATTCAATAACATTTTTTATGTTACTCTGAGTGTATATCGAGGGTCCTGAAGGGGTAAAATGGGAACTGGGATTGATCTATCTTTAGACTGGAAAAATGGGATTTGGTCACTGGGAATGCATTCACATGTCATGGGAAATGAAGTCCTCAAAAATGGGGATGGGATTGAGGTAATGCAACTCGATTCCCAATTTTTCCACGTTTCGAGTATTTTAAAATACAATTTTGATCCGTTTTTGGTGTCTTTGGTCATGATTGTTGTTGTTAACTATATTATTCACAGGACTACCTGCAAACAGGCATACTCTGGTCAGGGCTCGAAACTTGAAATTTTTGTCAGTATCCAAGTGGATACCAGCATCATAGAATCTAGTATCCATCCTTGAAATATACTGTAGTAACCCAGATTTGGATACAAGATATTCTATTTCCAGTATCTAAGCAAGGCAAAATTTTACCTTGCAACCAGGCCTTCAGTTGCTGAACAGAAACCAGGCCTTTAGTTTCAATAATAAAAATATGTATTGAAATTCGAAAAAATTGAAAATAACACACTGCGGCGATACAAAAGAAAGCACCGTTTGTGAAATGTTGTTTTTTTAATATTCTGCCAAAATCCATAGACATTGAAGTTCGGAAACATGCCCAAAGTCTAGATTATTATCTACTATCGCAATTTCTAAGTTTTCCTAGTATCCAGTTGGGATACTGAGCTTATGATACCTAGTATGCAAAATTAAAATCTGATATCCTGTGGATATCGGGATACCGCAAGTTTCGAGCCCTGCTCTGGTGCCAGGAATTCTGGGTTTTCTGATTATGCGTGTCCCAAGTCAGATGCACAGCGGAATATATGCCTGGTTTATTTATTTTAATTATTTACTTTGCCATCATACTTATACATGTACTTCATTTAACCCTTAGTATATACCTCAAAGGCAAAGCACAACCACTTCTGCCACACGGTGCGCACACACGCCGGCTAAAAGGTCTTAAAACTGTTTATTCTACCGATAAATAACTTTTTTTTATTGACTGGGATTTCAATAACTCGGACTGGGATTTCTATTAAAAATCCAACTGGGACTGGGATTTTGCCAAAATTTCAGGTGGGAAATGGGATTGGGACCCCCCTTCAGGACCCTCTGTATCCACACCGGCCGCAGGGAGGCTGAAAAGTTAGTGAAAAGTGTGGTATACATATATTTCATAGAACACATTGGTATCGAAGGTACTAGACTTCTAAAGTTCTGAAATACCACACACTTGAACAGACTTGGCCTGGTAGCTCAGTTGGCAGAGGATTGGACTAGTATACCAAAGGTTGTGGGTTCGATTCTCACCGTGGTCAGGCTAACTTTTCAGCCTGCCCGGTGTGGAATGCGATATACACTCAGAGTAACATCAAAAACATTATATTCACCTAAGTACATAACATCAAAACACACACAAAAATAAATTTCATAACCTCATGCCAGAAATCTTGGGATCAGGGGGAGGGGGCGGGTTTAATTATAGGGGGTTGGAAATTTAGGAGGGGGTGTTTGGTGCAAGTATACTAGTATAGGCATGTAGCCAAAGTGAACAGCTCCGCAGGGGTATTATTATATTTTTACATCATTAATTATAAGTAGATCATTTCTAGACTGTTTAAAATTAAATCAAGAACAAGTATAATGCTTAATATTATATAAAGCATTAAAAACATATACCTTGTGTTAAAGCTGTTACAGCAAATGTCCTGATGTTTTGAAACACAATATTGGAGGTTCCTGAAATAAAGAACTGCACTCCTGTCTTAGATCTGCATAAATGCATGCAAAATCCTGTCACAATGAACTACAATTTCAAATTTATGATTTTAAAACTAGAGCAAAGTCATTATTGTATAAAATTTTTAATATGCATATCTGCCAGACTGCCACTGTCACTGTGCCACATGATCAGTAGCCTGCTCGCAGGCCGTTGTCAGGCTACATGATCAGAGAAATATGGATAAATCCTTAAAAACAGGAATTTGCATTTTCAGGATTTATTATGTGCTATTTTATAATAAATATTTAATACAAAGAGTAGCTATATTAAAAGAGTAAAGAGTGCCCAAAAGTTGAAGATATAATACAATTAAGGAATTAAAAAGATTTCAAGGACCTGATATTATTCCAAAACTTCGTGATTCATTCTATGAGCTTGATATCTGTCTTAGGTGTTTTATACTACACCTCAAAAATTTTCCCGATGTTTGTACAATGTCTCTTTGTATTAGAATACGATTTCTGTTAGCCAGCCTGCAGTCTCAACCTAGCCTCTCAACCAAGCTCAACCAGAATTTATTTTAAAACCATCAAGGGTGAAGGCTTCTGACCGGTTGATTTCGCTGAAAAAGGCTGAAATCACAGAAAATGAAAAGGCAATTTGCTGAAAACTAAGGAAATTTAAACCTCTCGCCATGGAATTCTCGAATTGTGTTTAATGGCGTAAGATACGGGGGGTGAAGTTAGGGTTGGGGAGGGGGGGGGGAGGCGAAGGAATAATTTCAATGCCAACGTAAACACAATATGGTGGTGTGTTGAAAATATTTTTTGCTAGACATATTTTGTTGATATTTGCCTGACTTTGGAGCAATGTAATCCAATACAAGAGAAAGGAGATGTTTCTAGTTGTGTTCGTTGAGAAATGGCATCATTAAGATCGTATTTGCCTCCAGCAGGCAGTACTGTTTGGAGAAATGAACGAAGATTAACACGGACTTCGTCCAGTGGTGAGGCAGAAAGTGGTTTATCTAGAACAAGGATAAAACATATTGTAGTTCGTGAAGTATGGAAGAGAGATATACCTTCACCTCATGCAGTAAGTTGACTTGTTCTGCGAGATTTATGTTAAATAATATTGAAGTAAAATAATCCTAATAAAATAAAGTGTGCATTATCACAATTTTATTTTTTATTGCCTAATTTTCCTATTCTTGGTTTGCATTTGACGTCGTAGGAATGCTATTAATAAAAGAATAGATTAGCAGCGATTGTATTTGGAGCGTATTTTCTTCCGACATGGCCACTCTATCTTTGTTTTTTGTTTTGTAAATCTCAAAAGCTATTTTAGAGCTGTCAAGAGTCTAAACGACCTATAAATTTTAACCCAGGGTAGCGCTAATCCAAATTTGAACAACTGCCCCCTGCTGTGTGTTTAAAATTCCACAAATATGTAATAATGGCATTCATTTAACTCAGTCATTGTCCAACCATTTTGCTTTGCACAAATAATAGGGGAGGTGGAACAAAATTTAGGGAAGGTGCAGCGGCAGCTTAGCACGACCGCCACAGACTTTTCAGGGGAGGTGCAAAAATTCTCAGGCAAGGTGCAAAACTATCGCAGGGGAGTTGCACACCTCGATCCCCTCAAAATCCAGCCATGTCCATTTGAATTATAATTAAGTCCTTCAGGCCTCATTATGAAGGTTTGGGTTGCAGCCTGACGATTTTGTCCTGCTATGCAAATATTTTTGTGTTCATTAATGACTGTGTAAACAATCGATTTCTAAAGAAATGAATAATCATTATGATAATAATTTTGAATTTGCATAGCGGGACTAAATTGTCGGGCTGGCTACGCCACTGATTAGAATAGAATTATAAAGATTTTGATATACATGTACATGTAATTTAATGAAAACCTGCAACCATACAATGGAACAAAATGTATTGTACAAAAATGCATGGCTGAGTGTGCAATGGAATGTGTTCCATTGTATGCTCAGCAAAATGATAATTTTTATTCCACATCACATGATCATAATCAGCCAATTAAATGGCCAGAATTTAATTTGCTTTGCCATTTGTTGTCTGTTGTATTCACATTTTATGTGGCAATTTGGCAAGTAGAGGTTTTTTGCAAGGCTGGATTCTGATGGAAATAGTGGGGGAGGTGGAAAAATATTTAGAGGAGGTGCAGCAGTCTAGCTCACAACCCCCATGGAAAGTTAGGGCTTACAGTAGAACGGGCCAAAGTCAACAACGTGACATGTGCATGTAGTGTACATATATGTATGACGATATTTTACACTTACGTGACAAAACTTTTATTTACTTTTACAGAAAAACACACAAAAACATTACAGATAAACAGATATTTTGTAACACTTCATGTAATGTCAAATATAGCGTCTCTATTGAACATTCCCCCTCCCGAATTGAGAGAAATGCAGTTCGAAATTGGTAATCTCAATAACTAACACAACGCATTATGAACATTATGAACATATGAAATTCTTTGTTGGTAAAAACCATTTCTTTCAAGATCCAAGGTTTGGAAGATATTCGTTCATCCATCGTCTCCATTCGTGTCGCACTAATTCTTGGAGCCGTCTCCACCGCTTCTTGGCATTGAATACTGTCGTATCTACGTTCTCGGGAACAACATTTCCTCCCATTTGTCCTATGAGAAAATGGTTAATGGCGTAAGTATACGTCAAGTTCGTCATTAGGATCATCACTTATCGTTGTCACACAGTCACAGTGAAAACTATGTAATTCCTCATCATTGATGTCCGCGTTTGGCAAAACTGCAGCAATTGCTCGTTTGGCTGACTTTATCATACTCTCAAATAACCCGCCGAAGTGTGTTGTGGGCGGATTCCAATACTACAGTGAGTTTGAAGATCGACATACAAAAAGACAAAGATATTGTTTAGCTGTAACTTTCCCCCGTCCTTGTTTTGTAAAATAAGGCCCTCCATAATCGGTTGCACAGTTTTCAAATGGCCTGCCAATCATTTCCACACAAATGTCCGGCAATGGCGCCATAGCTGTGTTTTTAGGCCCTAATTAACTAAAACGTCGAGAACACTGGGCACAACTACTCATACAACGTTTGACCTCTTGACGTGCGTGCACGACTAAGTATTTCTCTCTTAGATGGTTGATCGTAAAGTTCACACCCATTTCGCTATGCTCAGTCTCATGGTGATACTTGACAATAAGACTCGTTACATGGTTTTTCTTTGGCAATATTATTGGAAATTTCACTTCGTTCGAAACTTTCTTCGTAATCTTGTATTCGACCGTAATATTCCATTCTCGAGCATGGGATTTAACTTTAATAAAGAGCTGCTTGTTGGTACCGGTTTACCTTTCTTCAACGCAGCAATCTCTGTTGCAAATGTTCTCTCTTGTATCTCTTTGATTATTTGTTCCTCGCTTATGATCAGCTCCGTTGGTGTTAATTCCCCGGTTTCTCTGTTCTCGCGCGTTCTTTTACAATTCTCAGTAAATCGATTAACCCAACTTCCCACTCGCAAAACGACAGTCCTATTTCACACTTCCCTGGTTGATTTATTCTATACCATTTGGAGTATCTTGTTGGCTCGAGTCTCCACACCAGGTCTACCTCGTTAGCCATAAGAGTTCTGGATTGGGATTCGTGTACCGACTCTTCCGATTAAGAAATACATTGTTCAAGTCTGTTTGCTCGTACTTGCGTTTTTAACTCTTGAATCTGGTGTATTCGAAGATCTTCGTTCCGGCCATTTATGTGGGCCGTGCCACCACAGTTCGTCGCTAGCTAACTCCAAACCCGATGTTCCTCGAGTACCGCGATGGCGCGATCAGCAGGGCTTTCTTTCGTAGATACATATCTCGATTGATCTGGGCTAGAATATTCGTGTATTTCGCCCACTCGGTTCGCTACAAAAGGTTTATAGTCTCGACTCTGTCCTTGAATCCAACAGATGATATTCAGACTATCAACCCGGAATGTAACTGTAGTGTGCTCGGCAATGCAAAGTTAATGCTCTTACGACTTGTTCCGGTAATTTCAAACATCTAGGAATCTTAACCTGCTCAATTCCACGAGCTTCATTAAACCACTGTCTCCATTGTATTTCGAGATGACTCGGTAATGGGTCATCCCATTCGATCGCTTCTAACCATGCATGCTTGCTGAATCAGCATTTTAGCTCGAATAATATGTGGAGATAATAAGCCAAGAGGGTCGTATATCATCGCTGTCTTTTTCAATGCATTACGCTTAGTGTACTCGAAATTCTCGGAAGGCGATGAGCATTGAACAAATCTTCCGTTGCTGTCCATAGCACGCCTAAAGTTTTTGTCACCGGGAAAATGCACTTGTTTAAATCGACTTCTGACGCTTGATCTACCGCTGGAATGTCCTCCAGGACTTCAACTCAATTGGATAACCACTCCCGAATATGGAATCCTGCTTTATCACCAAGCTTCGATAATTGTTGTCGTGTTTCCTTTGCTTCTTCGATCGTTGGCAGAGATGGCATCAAATCATCCATGTAACAATGATTCTGAACTCCAGCGGCTGCCAACGGAAATTCATCTTGAAATGGACAATAGCAACCTCCGAATATGAACCGCAGAAACTCGTACACTTCCAGTTCCTTCGACTGATCTAAATCTCGCCATGTGCAGAAATCGATGCAGGTCTATCCTCTGGTAATAACATAAGTTGGTGTTACATTTGGCTAATGTCGTCACCGAATACAACCAATTCCTCCCTAGAATGTCAAATACATTGCTCTGCAACTTCGCGCGAAAACGACACGAACTTTGGTAGTTGTTTTTTTCTGGTCTTACCACGGGAAAGTAAGGTAAAAACCGCTCAGTTTCCGGTACTGACTTGTACAACTTTACGGATATTTCTCGAGGTATTCTTTGATTACACCTTCGTATGCCCTTGCCAATTCGTTATCTCGCAACAACGTCTGCTCAACCGACTTGGGTCGCTTTTCTGCCATCGGTATTATAAAGTTTTACAAAATTTGCTTTGTTTACAAAAGTTATATTATGCATAGATTGCTAATTTGTCCTCCAGATGCATCATCACCGGCGCTGTGGCGTCATGTGCAATGGGTCTATAGTCAGGTTTGCTACACTGGCAACACTTTTGAAAAATAAATGAACACATACAGCATGCATGTGCATGACACACTGTACTCCCAACTAAAATGTTAACCCATTGAGTGGCTTCACTCTCCCCTTGACGAGTAAAATTATAAGTATATGAAGTAACTGAACAGTATATTTTTATTTTCAGCTTTATAAGATTGATGTAATGACGCAGTCAAATCACTGGTTCATTCTTCGACGTTATCGAGAATTTCATTGTCTTCATCTTAATGTGAGTATTGCTTCACAACAAATGTAACGTCTTGTTGCATGCATCACCAGAAAAAGGATGCACTATCCTCAATGAAGTATTTTGAAATTCCAAAATTACTTGCCGCCTTACAGTAACTCTTTGACGTGCATCCTTCTCCAAGTGTTTTTCTACCACTTGCGTGATTTCTTCAATTAAAATTTGTTTCACTGCTTGCTTTGGCATGTTGTTGATCGCGAAGGTGCTTTCTACTTTGTCTGCTACATTATAGTCGACTGCAATATCAGGATTTTCTTCATCACATTCATTTAATAACCACATGGAACAGTTACTAGCATGTGCCTCAATACAGGATATCTGTACAGGCAAAGAGGACATTGAATAGTTGCTGCAGGAGTAGGTGATGCAACTTGTTCACTTGAGTGGTTTGGTTGAATTGGTTCATGTGTATCAGTTTCTTTCATCAACTCGGAAATATCTTCATCAGATGAGGAAGAGTTAATGGTATCCTTGAGATAATCGGTCATAGAGCACAGATAAAAACATATTTTACTGTACGGTTTCCCAATTTCCTCCTTATAACGTCGGAGTCAAAATAGTTCATCAGATCTTGGAGTTGTTTCTAGTTCCCTAGCATGGTTGCTAATAAAACAACAATTACAGTTCAGGATTGTTAGAAATTAAGTCACTGTTAAATCTGCTATGTTTTTCAACTGCCTTGTTTCACAACAGAAACCCTGCTTTATATGGACACGCCTCTAATATGTATACCTCTCTAATATACAATGTATGAACACCTCCCTATTATATGGACAACTTTCTAACAAAGATTGACATATCTCTAAAACTCATCTCAAATACTGACATCATACTAATATCAAGTTCATAAACTGTCACTGATAAATAAAGCTTTAGTTTTATTATCAAATTTGTGTTTTGTTTCATATCTATAGCTGGTCAAGCAATTTAACATTCCTAGTGACATGTTACCTACCAAGAAATTATTTTCAAACATGTCCCTGATTCATCTTGAGAAACGAAGAAATGCTTTAGAACATTATCTACAGAGGCTTATCAACAGGTATTCATGTATGTTGTGGTGTCTTGTTGGAGTTCAATCATATGCCAAACTGAAAATTATGTAAAATAATTTCTCAAGTTAGAGCTGTGCGCCAGAGACCCAGAGCTCCGGCATATTTTGCTGGAGCCGGAGTTGGAAAACTCTATTATTTGGAAATATTATTTCCAATTTTAATGAATTTTTGGTCATGGAAAAATTAAGTTGAATGATTTGAAGTTATTGTAAAGTTTAATTACTTGCTCCGATCCGATACGTGGTTTCGAAAATTCTTCAAGCGCATTGCGATTGCTTTTGATACAAAAATCCGCTGACCCCGATGTATTTTGGGCGAAAATACTACGCTGCCATGCGCTTTTACTTTCTATAAAACATTGTTTAAACAAGCACCGAAGCACGTATATTTGATAAGTAAAGGAGAAAGCTCAATAAATTCTGAAATTACACTGAAATACTTGCGACTGCTTCCACTTTTTTTAAACATAAAATTCCTAAAAGTTTCTTGCCGGAACAGAAGCCGGAGTTTTGACTGGCGGAACCGGAGCTAAAATAACCGGAGTTTCCACAGCTCTAAAGCCCCGTTTACACTATGCTCAATTTTTGGTACGGCACGGATAAAATTGGTACCCGTACCACTTTCTTGTTTCTTCGTGGACTACCTATTTACAGTAGGTAGTCCAAGAACCAAAAAAGTGGTACGGTACCAAAAATTGAGCGTACTGTAAATGGGTCTTTAAGTCTCAAGTGGGAATTATACCCACAGTCTAACGTACCAGCCCTCTTCACATATGAGCTCTGAACTATAGACCGACCATTCTTTTTTCTTCTGAAATTAATTTCAACCCAGGTAATCACTGCTGCCTTAAAGAATGCTTCAAAACTAACAGTTTTACATTAATATACCATGTATTCTCTTTGAGAAATTAAATGTAAAAAATACTGACGTTTATGTTAGATTTAGCAAAGCAAGCCTTATGCACACTTCGAAGGGCTATAATTTCACTTGCATGCATTATTTTCAATCTTAAATTCTTACACTTTGCCTTACATGCAGTCTTTTGGTAAAATATAAAATAGTGCAAAATTATTGTAGCTACTGTAGCTTTTGAATCGGTCAATTGGAATGCCCAATAAAGACATTCAGAAATATTTTATGTATACAGTACTGTACATGGATTCAACGAGGGATAGGACGAGCTAAATGAAATAAAATCACTTCCTAAAAGTTTATTTCTGAATTTCCCAACAGGGTATTGAAAGCAAGATCTTTGATTTAACGTAACAGAGTGTGTTGAGTTATAGAGGTTCACGATCGAGACGGTGGTGCTAACCAAGTCATTCAATTCCAGCACTGTCGGTGGTGCTAACCAAGTCATTCAATTCCTACACTGCTGAATACAACAAGCAGTACTATAGTCCAACCGGCATGAAAATTCAGTATGTTTACATGAGACTGATACGAAAATCACAAATCTTTCAATGTATTCGCCTTGCTCGCCATTTTCAGTGCTTTTGTGAGCATGCATTGTTCGGAAGCCAAGAGCACAGCCGAGATCGGTGTGAAATGTATTTGTTGTTACATTCATCTCACTCCGAATTCATCCACCGGTTCGGTCCAGCGAGTGAATCTCTTCTGACCGGTTTGAGCAATTTTTCGTCCTGGTTTTATGTAAACATCTACTATAAATAATACTAAGACCGAAATGAAATCGCCCCAGTTACGCCTAAACGGGGCTATAGTCAGCCGGCACCCGTCCACAATTTTACAGATTGTAGAGAGACTGGGTAATGCCCCATTCGTTGGTACGTAATGTTGATCGCTATAGAGATCGATAAGTATTTTTGTACACATAATCAAATGTTTCCACTAATCAACTCGTGTCTTGTTCTAGTCATCATGATATTGCTGAATCTCAAGAACTGTTCCAGTTTCTCAATGTTCAAACTCATGTATGTGTAATATTTTCCGCATTTATAAATATATCACTATTGTATATGGTTTATAAGTTAATCGTGTCCAAGGCCATCCTCGTTCCCAGGGTCTCTCCGCCGCGCGCGACATTCGTACGTCCTTGGATAAAACCTGCAGTATAGTTTCTAAAGCGCATACTCTTGAGTTGCGACGCTTTAGCACCCGTAACAATTTTCACAGAGAAGTACATTATTACGAAGAAATGAAGCATTTGTGTTGACAAAATTTTATCTTTGCGCATACAGTAGTGGCAGGGAAAATTTTGCAACAACTCATCAGGAGCGGAAAAAGTATCGGAGCACGGGATTGTTGCTCCCAGAAAATGTTTTGACTTCTCAGAAAATATTTTCCCAAGAAAGAAAAAAAAAGGATAATTATAATGATTTAGATAAATGGAGAAATTCAGAGGAAAAATGTTAACCAACAGAAAGAATGTTACCTGCACTGTGGGTGTGACTCCAGAAATTCAATTATAAGTGCAACCGTCATAATAGTGTGACAGTGTATAAATGTACAGTATAGAATGATGTAATTATCACTTATTTACTGAGACCGAGGGAAACAGTGTGTTTTGTGAACTCGAGGCCGCCGTTGTTGGCCGGTCTCGGGTCCACAACGGCGGTCGAGGGGCCACAAAACACACTGCTTTCCCGAGGTCTCAGTAAATAAGTGTTTAGTTATATAGTATATAAGTGTCAAAGTATGAATAATTCACCGGTTATTGGAGTGAACTTAATTTGAAACCAAAACTGGATAAATGGAACGCTGTAAATGTTTAGTAAAAAGTTTTAAAAATGAACTTTGGAACTTCATGGTTGACACGCATGCGTATTTCACGGTTTGCACCCATTTTATTATTGACCTGTCAATAAATGTTTGATTGCGGACCGGTTGCCGAACATGACGTTTTGTGGACCGGCACGTGACACGGTTTTGACCAATCGGCAAACAGAAAAATTGAACTTTGACACTAACTATATAACAACAAATGTTGTATGGTAAATTCATTTTTCATAGAGTGTCGATTATTTGCGGAAAATTTCAATGTTCGCTCAAAAGTATCTTTTCCAGCCCTGCAACCACTGGGGAAAAAATGTGAAATCTATACTATGAAATTTACAATTGAACCACTAAATCCATAGTATATCCATACTTATTTCGATACTATATCCATAGTATGAAAATATACAATTATTATGGATCATCAGAATCCATTCTATTTCCAATAAAATTCCATACAATTTCCATTCTATGACCTTATATGGATTTTCAAAATTTTTTCCAGTGAACGCATGCATCCAGTGCAAGCATGCATGCAAAGTCAAATCACCATCATGTTTCTTTTTTTTAAATCAAGGATGTTCTATGTGTCACCAGGCAGCTGGCTAAAGTTCTAGAGAACGAAGGTACAGTAAGGCTATATGTTTACACTATACCGGATATAGTTTTCCGTACGAAAAAGCACCTATCTGATCAATGTACAGCTTTCAGAAACTGAGCGAAACAACATCTCTCCGTTGCAATAATTCCTCTGAAAATAGCGTTCCTAAAAGATACGGATAGGTCTTTTTTCACGTCGCTAGGGAAAGCTATCTGGTACAGTGTAAACATACCATAAGTTGCTTGTGATGTTACTCTGAGTGTATATCCACACCGGGCAAGCTTGAACCCACCGTGGCCAGGCATATTTTTTCAAACTTGTAACATCACAAGCATTATATTCACCTGAATACATTACATCAACACAGAGAAAATCGTACCATAAGTTGTCGGAAATATTGTGAGTGCGACGTTTGCTTTCTAACATATATATTCCCACCCTTGTGTTGATTGTTGTAGTCCTCAAACCTTTTTGGTTGATGTCACTGGATGTTAATTTGCATAACTAATACGATATCACGCTTGCATGAAAATATATTATATTTAATTGGTGTACGAGAAATACATGTTTACAGAAATCCCTCGCCCTTCCCAGGCCCAAACGTTGATTCAACTTTTATCTATGGTGGCTGTATTGTGGTGTTGAAGTGAGGTGAATTATTTTTTGTTGATTGAAGACAACCGCCTACATTCTCACCACAGCCACTTACTCTACTAGAGCCTGGTTCACACTAGTAATTCTGTTCCGCGATTTTTCTCCTCCTGGCAAATGTGATCGAATGAATGACATACAAACGACTCAGAATTGTTTACTTCTGAAAAGCGACTCTATACTTTTGTATGCGAGTTCACTCATTTGCATCCGTCAGAAACACAAAATCGACGACAAAATCGACGACAAAATCTCTAGTGTGAAACAGGCTTTAAAAAGATTATGAAAGCCCTGCATCACGCATTAATAGCGATTTAAAACACTGAAATTGATGCGTGTTAAACAACTGGCGCTAGTCAGCATGACTTTGAGGGTATGATACTGTATAACTTCTTGAACGAACCAAAATTCCCTGGGAAATACATCATGAACGTTGTATACATGTTTACCATGCATTGTATCAATGGTATACGATGCCGATTTCCTTTAATTGGGTATTGGAAATTATAAGTAACTTTGATTTATTTTTATGTATGTTTGAAGGACGAAATATTTTAGCAAGTGGTGGTGTTTTTACTTTCTCTCCAACACAAATGTACTGTATAACAAGACAGTTGCAACTACCTCATGTGGCTATCCAACAATCAGGTAAATCTTAACTGTATGTACTGTATATTTTTTTGAAGGGAGGTGGTCCGTGCCCATAAAAATATGTTCAGATTTTGACTATACCGTTATCATTAACCAATCAGGTGCGTTTAATCTACCCGATTAACCAATCAGATGCAGCCTCGTACCCAGGCGCAAATAACGTACTAAAAATAGCAACACTACAGTTTGTTTATATAGATCAGTGGCTAAGATGAGCGTGCGCGCGGGGGTGCTTGGGGAAGACGCGGGAAACGAAGCTGCAAAACCCCGTGGAATTACTTCTGGAATACACAGTCTTCTCCAAGCACCCCCGCGCGCTCGCTCATCTTAGCCACTGATCTACATTAAAACACCGTACATGTAGTGTTGCTATTTTTAGTACGTTATTTGCGCCTGGGTACGAGGCTGATTCAAATGCGTATTAAGCCAGTGAGAGGTAGTGGAAGGAAATCTTGAACCTCTCTGTTAAAGCATTCTGATAGTCTGGTTTTCCTCCAATCTGGACCTCCCAACCAATAGACAAATTTGGCTAACCTTCTGTTGATAGTTACTATATTGTTCTAGTTTACCGAGGCATTGTACAATAGAACAAAGGCAACTATAAGCTTTAGAATTATCTACATGAGTGAATCATTCTTAATCTTCTAAAGCTTAGTTACCTTTGTTCTATATTTCTATTCTATGCTTCTGTAAACTAGAACAATAGTAGATACGTGGGCATCATGTGAGTTATCTAAAGTTGTGAATTGGGTAACGATGATGTAAAACCAAATTTGTCTATAAATAATCCGTCTTAGTATCAACAAAGACTAGCTGTCCACACCAACTTTAGTCTAGCTATAGAATTTATCTGCAGGATTCTGGGCAACTTCAGTATACAGGCCTTAAAATATCGGTCGGTCACGGACATTGTCCGACCCATTCATCAAACTGTCCGACGTAGAGAGGAAACTACCGGACATTCTGTCCGACCTAAGTGAAACTGAAGTTTATTGTTTGTCCGACCCGAGTGTATTGGTGTCTGACAGAACTGTAGCTTTGTCTGACGCTTTCTCCACGCACATAAATCCAAATGTATATACCCTAGTCCAGAACCAGAGTTTGTATAAAAATGAACCAGAAATGTTGCGAGGCGGCGAGTGAAATGGTGAGGTGGAAAACGGACTTACGTTATCGAAGTCGTACTGCTATCATTGGCAAACAAGTTAATTTCGGCTTGGAAATAAATATGAATGACACAAATTATTTAATATCTTCACAACATTTAGTTCAGAATGAAGACATTGTGCTGATATTAATTTGCGTCAGTCAGACTTAATTATTTCCGACCCAAACTGAACTGAAGCCTGATCGGACATCATCATACATATCAGTCCGACCCAAACTCAAAGTCATCGGACATTTTGTCAGACGGCCCTGTAAAAGATATTTTAAGACCTGGTATAGCTTAACCACAAGTTCATCAGATTCTACATATACTATAAGGTGATGCCAATGTAAGATGTATGGGTGTGATCACAGGGCCGCAGGTTCGATTCCTGCGAGGGCGTATAGTTGCATTTTTCGCAACTGCTCCTGCACTGTAAGTTCTGATACATTCACACTCGAAATTTCCATCTACAAAACCCTTCTATACTGTTTCTCTGCAGCTGAGTTGGTTAAAGCACTGCACCGGAATCACAGGACCGCATGTTTGATTCCTGCCAGAGGGCGTATAGTTGCATTTTTCGCAACTGCTCCTATACTGTAAGTTAGTTCTGATAAATTCACACTCGAAATTTCCATCTACAAAGCCCTTCTATACTGTTTCTCTGCAGCTCAGTTGGTTAAAGCACTGCACCGGAATCACAGGACCACATGTTTGATTCCTGCCAGAGGGCGTATAGCTGCATTTTTTGCAACTTCTCCTGGTTAGGTCTGATAAATGTATAAAAATTCCAGTGGAAATTTCCATCTACAAAACCTTTTAACAATTAGTTCTATATCGAGTGAGTCCAAAAGTGCTGATATTTATACACATGAACATACCACCTGCCAAACCAATATGAATGGAAACTAAACTTGTTATGTGTTTTTCTTACTAGATACGTCAAACCCGGGTGATGAAATGGTAGATTTAGGATATCTTTATGACTTTATTCAAGAGTTAAAAAGTTTATGTGTGAGTGGTGTGGCCAGTCGTTCATCTCCTTGTCAAGAACTGATCAGTAATCAAGCTTTTGATATCTCACTTTTTAAATCATTGCAAAAATTACAGGTAAGACTCTTGAGAACGTTTAGCTGTGCGCCATGCATGCAGTGGTTAATGCATTGTACCTTTCAAGCATGCAGTGGTTAATGCATTGCATGTACCTTTCAGCTCTGTGACCCTGGTTCTATTCCAATAATATGCTGTTGTTCACGTTCTCTGAAATAATTTCACATCTGTCACATAGAAACAAACTGCAATAGTTTCATATTATTGTTTGAACAAGGAAGAAGTCGTTGTCTCGAGTGAGATTCGAACTCGCATCTTCGGGTTTCTAGGCGGCTGTCCTAAACATTGAGCCATCGAGTCAACGGGGATTGGTAGCGAGTCTTATCCAATTTAAGTGCACGAAATATTTTCGTGACGACTTAATGTTTGTCTTGGAGGACGTGTATTGTTTCAATTCTATTTCAGAACTATCCTCATGCTGAGATACATGCATGCATACATATAACTAGATACATTATTCTGACACTGCAAGGTGCAACGAATAATTCGTTTTGAAATACATCATACACTCATTGTATGTCTTGGGGGTACTCCAGCCTTCTCTTGAAGTAACACTGAACTATATTACCCTTACTGGACCTTGAGAATTTCCCTTGTAAGTCTCGGCCATGTTTCCGTTCCAAAAGCGCTTGACCACCACATACACAAACCTCTTTCAATCATAGATAGAAAAATGTCATATTCATGTCATTGATGGGTTATTTCGGATACAAAAACAGTTAACACATGTAACATTGAGGAATTGCTTGAAATCAATGAAGGTAAATATTGTCAGTACTTAAATAATCAATACTTAGGGCAATTTTAACTCATTCACGGGTAAAATTGTTTGGAATTAGACAGAGTGAAATTATAAAGTAATACGCATGCATTGGGGCGCAATACAACTCGATGGGTTAACTATAGACACATGGGCAGGTAGTGTAATGAACTCGTGGCAGGCCTCGAATTTTATCGCGGCAATTGCCGTAGAGGGAGAACAAAATGCCGTGGATCATTGCGGCAACGACGGCAATTTTTTGCCGTATAGTGCAATTTTTATACAATTTGATCAAATCATGAGTAAATCACTATTAGTCTCAGTTTTCTTCGAAAAAAAAAACACTAAAGAAATACGTAGATATGTTTCTAGCTTGTCCAAAATCCAAGGTAACAATAAAATTAAAGTTTTATTACAGTAAGTTGAAAAATGCTGTGGAAACTGCCAAAATTGCCGTAGATAGCTGTTACGTTCTACGGCATTTTTTAACGTCATTGGCGTCGATTGATTTCAGGGAAATTCGAGGCCTGACTCATGGAGCACTAGCGCTCTCCCCTTGACAAGTAAAATATTTTGTCGTCAGAAAGAGTAAAATAATAAAGTATAGGGCGTAATGGGTTAATAGCAAGTTTAAACAAGCGACGTTTTTGACGGGGGGGGGGCTGGATTAAAAACTGTGTTTGTGTCAGTTTCAACA